CGTCCGGTTCACAGCAATGAGGACTTGGCAGCGACAAATTTTAAGTGGACGAATAGGGTAAACGCACACTGATCTGAGTTAGCCTGATCGCTTGAGGCACACAATCAACTTGGCTGTGAAACTGTATTACTAAGACCATTTGGAGCTGGGATTCAGTGAAAAAGTCTATGAAGATAAAAGATGAAGACTTAGGCCTAATCTCAGTCGAAAGCGTAGCCTCTATTTGCATGCTGGTGGTTCAGATGTCTAAGTGCATTTTTTTCGAAGAGCACAACCGTCCGAAACTATACACATGAGGCATTACACATGATCAACGATGGCGCTCAATGCGCATTTCTGTTAGAACGGAATTCTTGGTTTTTGGTCTGTCCGCCTAGCTTGGCAGTTGGATTGCAAACGTTTCATCACCAATCGAGATGATATCGTCAATGCAGTGTTGAGTGGGTGAATTCCTCCTCTTCTGTATGTGATTATATAACTTGTAAACAGTATATGGTAGTTCTGGAAACGGTCCTCGCGTAGTTTAATTGGTGTCCGTTTAATCTGACGTGGTCTCAATCTCCTGTGTCTGGTTGGTTCGTTGGGCGCATTCAATTCGGCAGTTCTGTGTGTGGTTGTTCTGTTGTGATTCGACCGTTTTCTTCTAGCTTTGTGGTGTGAGTTTGTTCTCTTGATTGGTTGATTCAGTGGCCTTTTGTTTTTAGTGCTTGTCTTCCTTTGATTGGTTCCTTTAGTTGTCGTCAGGTTTCTTGGCTCGTAACGGCTGATAGGTTGGGTCAATGTTGATATGGTTGTTGATCAATTTTTGTGTGGAGTACCACGCCCCGGCAACTTCTAGCTCCCGTTTTGTTCTCGCGTGAACAAGTATTTGAACACTGCCCCAATTGAACTTGTGTCCTTCTCTGTCTTCGTGAATTGAGACAAGTGACATTGGGTCATGTCTTCTGCTGACAAGCTTGTATTCGTGTATTCTGTTAGCAAATTTTCTTCACGTTTGGCCAACATGGTGTTTGTCGCAGTCGCTGCACTTAGGTTTGTAGACCACGTTAGTCTTCTTCAATGAATCCAAACTTCCCCGTGGTTTCGAGAGAGTTCTTCTCAACGTGTTTGCAGGCTTGAATGCAACTGTAATTCCATGTTGCCGCCGACGTCGTGCAGTCATCTCCGGCACATTTCTGATATACGGCAGCGTAATCTTCCTCTGTTCTGGTTGTGTTGACGAACCAGCTTGGTGATGATCTCGTAAGCACCTCCATTTGAAATTCCTCGGATAGCCGTTATTTCGAAATGTCTCGTAGAGTCTTCGTTCTCTTTTCTTCGCCTCTGTTGAGTTGCAATGTCTCTATCCGCTTGAACAGGGGTTGAACACAGCTCCGCTTGTGACAGTTCGGACGGTTGATGTGGTAATTCAGAATCTGGTGTGCAAGCGTTTCTTTCCTGTATACTTCAATTGCATTTGGTCGTTTGTTGTCCTTGTGACGAGCACATCTAGGGACGCCCATTTGTTGTTATCCTCCGTTTACATTGTGAGGTAGATGTCGGAAAACGCTGTTTAGAAGCTATATAATCACAGGCAGAAGAGGAGGGATTCACCCACTCAACCCTACACCGACGATATAATCTCGATTGGTGGTGAAACATCTGCAATCCAACTGCCAAGCTCGGCGGACAGACCAACAACCAAGCAGCGCACCCGAGCTACCTGCATTCCACAACATTGCTAGGATCGACTTCACCTTTGTCTTAAGTAGTGCTTTGTAAAATGGTTCCGTGAAGAATTTATGCACTTTATAAAAGGCAATCCAAACAACACTAGTTACATGAACTGTGAGTAGAATGCTCAAGAAAACCGACGAAAAAATCTTTGCTTCTTCGTCAGTATTGGAAAACTCACAGGCTAAATCGGGATAACAATACAATTTCATGGTAGAAGGCAGTGATACGAAACAATAATCGTGTGTTATTGCTGACATTGTCATTAAAACGCTTAGTCACTAGCAGATATCAGGGGGTGACTGGGTGTTGAAATTTGATGACAGGATTGGTAGAGCCGCTACACCAATTATTGCCGTGCTTCGACCAATGTACAATGGGTTTGGTTCACTAAACTCTGAGTTTCGTCATAACACTAGCTGATCAGGCAACTAGCTTGAGAGCTTAGCATCAGGATCTGTTCTAGTCACCATGGTCTCAGAGCTTCCATGTGAGATCGTTCCAATGCCCACCAAACTGAAATCAGCATTGGCGCTAAGGTGATTCGAATGTGGCATGAATCAACGTGCTGACGCGATCCGCTAATGTGTCAGTTCATCGTAGTTGGGGCCATGCTGAAAAAGTGGGGATAACGAGTACGCTGGGTGAGATGCAGATTCAAGTAGCTGATAGACAACAAGGCCGGAAGCAGTTTTTCGCCTCACCGTAGTTAGGAAAAGTGGGAAAAACGAGTAAGCTGGGTGAGATGCAGAGTCACTAATCTAACCCGGAACTAACTTACCCTTTCAAGCAGCTGACAGTCAACAAGGTCAGAAGCCTGAGTGTTGTTAGTCATGACTGCCGTGTCAGTTATAACAAGCCATGAGCGCAACTCACCGCTAGTTTCGAAATCTCGATCATCTCAAACAAGGGGGCATAAATTCCAGGTTGGAAGAAGTTGACCAAGCTGCACCTGAGATCCCAATGACATACGGTAGATGGTACACTAGGCTATCGATATTGCAGAAGAAGGGGAACAGGTTTCGGCCTTAGTTGGTTTGAAGAACGAAGAACTGATAATTGCCTGAAAGTGTGGAAGACTAGAAGAACAAAGTAAGAGGGCTTATCGGGTAATACAGAAGTTTGTGTAATAACCAAATGGGCAAGGAGTGAGTTAAACGTTGCGTTGTTACGTTGGAGTTGAAAAGAACGTTGTCCTCTTTACGGCGAGTGATAATTGTCCGTTCGCTAAGTAAATAAACGGCAGTGTACCTGGGCCTGGCGACGATTCTGAGTTTCGTATTACTTCCATGACTTAAATATTTTACATAATCAAAATTACAATGAACATGTTCCCCAGTAAATTGTACTCAGATAACGTGGAAGATAGCACCGTCGAATGGGGCGTTTGATTATTTTCTGGACGACATGTAATTGGCTATCCGTCATCCTGCTAGCTGGCTATTTTCCTATAGCTACATCAGTAAAGACCTAACGTAATGTGTAAAACAAGTCATTTGCAGTGTGGACCTGCCGGCGGTCTCCTTCGAATGCCTGTTTAGTATTCAAATTTTAAGTACGGTTCTAATGTGGAGGGGTTTGTTTTCGAGTACACCGTAACTCTGTCCTCGCTTCTGCCAATTCCGTTATGACCCGACAAACTTGCGAACCCATACAGACTCTCAAAGTCTGGTTATTTGTTCCGCCCGATCAAACTCAGCCAATCTTATAAATTTTCGTCTAATTCGTGGGCGTGCTATGTATTTCTGTTTGGGGCAATAGGTTACCTAAATAAGTATAAAACCAACCTGTTCGTCCTGATTCAAATGAGACAGCGATGTTTGCGTGGCAATTGTGGAACAGGATAGCTACGGTAACAGTCGTTCGATAGACAATCAGCTGATGACAATCGGGTACTGTAAATTAACGTTGCGTCTTGAAGTCAGCCGATGATAATCGGGTACTGTAAATTAACGTTGCGTCTTTCATTCGCCTCCAACCTGTGCCATTTCATCTCATTGAACTTGGGTCACGAAACATCAAACTTGGACATGACCCCAACCGGTCGGTGAGTCAAGACACCTTCTGGCCAAAAAGGTCCGAAGGTTTGTCCGCGAGGTCATACATACGCCTACGAAGCTTGGTGCATCAATGGGTTTGGAATGGTTTGAAGGTGGCCTGAATCGTTATGGCACCCCCGACCACGAATCGTGCGATCGCATGATGGCTAGGCCAGGGTTCAAAAGGTCAAGAGAACCGTTCCGTTCAGTGAGATAGAGAACTGGTAAGCTGAATCACAGCTATATGTGCCATTCAAGTAACCGACAGAAGGCAAAACGACAAGTTTAATGAGTTTGCTTCATAACTGTCACACCAAGAGGGTTGGGGTGTGAGTTTAAAGAGAGTCAATTTGGTTAGTTTTATGCCATTGAACTTATCAAACTGGTTAAGGTAAGGACTGGACGGAAAACGCCATGTGACTGATTGGGATACGAGCACCGTAAAATGCCTCCAGGGGCCTATGTAACCGATGAGTCATTTAAATATGATGAATTACGCTACCGGTACTTGAAGCTGGGGAAGGAAGGGAGGAGTCGCGACACCTGAAATGTACGAGATTATACAGAGTACACAGGCATTTCTTGAATGATAATTCGAGAAAATGGACCTTATATTTGACTGATGTGCTTATGAATATGAACTCGTCTTATGGTGAGTCGTCTTCATGGCTTTTCCTAATTGACACGGCAATCACGATTAAGAACAGTCAGGCTTCCGGCCTTGTTGTCTATCAGCTACTTGAATCTGCATCTCACCCAGCGTACTCGTTATCCCCACTTTTTCAGCATGGCCCCAACTACGATGAACTGACACATTAGCGGATCGCGTCAGCACGTTGATTCATGCTATATTCGAATCACCTTAGCGCCAATGCTGATTTCAGTTTGGTCGACATTGGAACGACCTCACATGGAAGCTCTGAGACCATAGTGACCAAAACAGATCCTGATTCTAAGCTCTCAGGCTAGTTTGCTGATTAGCTGGTGTTATACTCAAACCCATGACCCAGTGACCGAAGTGTTCAGTCTCAATGGTGTAAACACACTTAGTTTTGTCTATCCGTTTTTATAGGACAGATGGATGAAACAATACTGCATACTGCCATTACGGGCGCGTTTTTGTGGTACGTTCCCTATGTCTATCACGTGATATGTCTACTGTGGTCTACAGTGGTTTTCTTACAATTGGTCTCGTGATAAACTGTCCAAATACGCTATGGCGATCGATTCATTCAAACTGACTGATTCGGCGTGTGGCCCAACAAATGAGCAGCGAAGAGATACCGGCTAACACATTGTACCCCAGCGATCTAAACCAACCGTATAGCAGGGAACTTCGACAAAAATGTCTAACTCCGAACTTCCCTCTCATCGGGCTTGCCCCACGCGAACATACATGTCAAACTGAGGCAGCCAAAGAAGGGATCACATTTGATGGCAGTCGTAGACGAGTAAGACACTGAGTTATGTAGCAGTGCATTTTTGGTATTAAAGGTTTTTCCAGTTGTTTCAATAATATTGCGCTGTAGAAGCCACTATAAATCGGCTTGCAGTAGTGTCAGTACGTAAAAATACGACGATCTGAGAAGTAGATATGACGATTGTAGTCGTGCTGTGCAAGTATGCTTGTTTGATTTAGGTTTGTCCATGTGCTCTTAGTAGGATATCAATTTTTTATAAAGTTGATAAAAGCTTTTAGACATCTGAAGGAAAATACCTTGAAGTTTTGGGTACTATTCCAGCCGGAGCACGAAGAAGCTTCATGCAACACATTCAGTTGAAGAAGAATGAGTGCACGAGGTTAATCTGTCGGTCGTCAGAACCATTTCACTGGGGACAAGAATTGCAACAGCATCCCGGCAATAAAAAATGAGGTCCCTGTCAAGAAATAAGGGCAAAGCAAACTGGAAAAATTAACCCTCATTTTAGTCAAATGACCTCACCCATAATATTATGCAGACCAGTTGTATGGTTAAAAGATGTGTGACCGAGTTCGACTCCATCTGGCTATCAAGTTCGTTCGTTTAGCTTCTTGGTCCGACTGCCACAGCTGTGATAAAGATGTGGTCGATAAATACCCGAGAACGAGCACCGAAAAGTCAAAAAAAGGCCTTGAATCATTTATGTAAATATCCTTGTAGCCGTATGCATATTTACCGTCCACACGGAAGCCGTCGCTAGTTTGTATGTGCAAGCGAGACCTGGAACACAGGTAGGTTGACTGAACTTGTCAGGTAGTATCATGCTTCTCGCAAATTCATCGCTTGATTTTTCACCAGATGCCAAGATATTCCAAAGTGAATCAATGATGTGCTTGGTAGTCCTGCACCAAAACCAAAGGACTGGATCTGTCTTCAACTAGTACCTTACATTTTGATCGAAAATGAGAAAAAATCGATCAAATGAAATTTAACTGGGCCTGGTCAATACCAACCCGAGCTCTGCTAACACAATCTAAGGACTCGAACGGAGAAGCAAGTTGGGTGAACCATTCAAGTGGCATCAGACGTTACATAAATACAGGCGCAACACCGTCCATTACCTGAAGGCAACACAACCTGAAACCAACTGCTACACTGACATGCAACTGTGATGTCATCCATTCCAAATGATAATGAAACGTGTCAAATAAAACTGCAAAACTGGGCAACCTAAGCATCCGTTAGATTGTTCGTAGCAGACAAACTCCGAAGGCCCCTATAACTACATTCCATTATCATACTGTACCAAATACCACGCATTGATTCGGCTCAGCTTACTGTGTACAGCTCTCGATCGTAAAACCGTTGACTGAAAATGGGTAACCGCTTGCCTTATTTATTGTAAACAAATGGTAGTGATAATAAAAAGAACAGTGAATAGTAACGAAAATTCCTATCCCTAACATTTCTTGAGATAAAAATATTCAGACTGGAGATTGGACAAGATTTCATAAGGAAGTGGTTTCAATTTCGAACACTATAATATATAGACGCTTCATGCCATCCGGCAAATAGATCTTACCAGTAATACGATCAACGTGATTGTCAGCCAGTAAGTTAACAGCAGTGCAGATAAGAAGGTGATCCCGTTTTGACCGTGATATTCCCAGAGTTCTCAACAATATTAGTTCATATTTTCTAAGTGGCTAAAGCTAACGTAGGTATTTCGCAGCTCACAGTTTTTACAAAATAAATAACGCAAAAACGCATGAATCTTTTTGTGCTCTGTGTTGTATATTCGCACGGAACGAATGAGAGTTAGGCTCAGTAGAAGGCTAAAACTGCAACAATCAACCACAGAGAGCGCCAGGCGAGCCAGCGTTTCAAGAAAGGACTGGATTTATATCTCCTCGCAGTACCATACATTCTACCAGATTGCAGCTTGATGGAACAGACACAATCCTAGTCAGAAGGCAGCAGGTTTAAATCCCCTGTGGATCCGTGGTACGCACAATTCAACAATTTCAGATAGTGATGAAACGGCTCTAAACTAAACCGCAATAGTTCAAGGTCACCAACTTCTTTCACGGGAAGTCCTTCACGGAAAAAAACGAAAAAATACACAACCACCTACAACATTACCCTGATATTAAGAACCATTGTTCATACTTGTCTGCAGAAGGTGTCCCATACTCGAAGGTAGTTGTACGAAATAAAAAGATCACAGAGAGACCTCAATGAATAAAACAAATTTCGAACCAATCCAGCTCACCTTAAAGTATGGCCTCTAGTAGAAAGTGGGTTTGGTCATCGAGCCAATAAAGGTTATGGAGCAATCAAACAGCAAACAATTTCAACATAAGGCCAGAAACATCGCGGGATCGATGTTCACTTGGTTTCACGCGACATTGGCCATTTCCATTACACGTTTGTCCACTGAGCAGCGTGATGTCGGAGCCCGTATCGAGCTGCAAAAGAACGAAGAACTTGTTGATACGAAGCATGAAAGTGTTTCATCGGCAATCGAAATCAACGCACAATGTCAAATACACCCAGCAAGATCATTGCTTATGAGCTGCAAGGTGATGTGATTATGGATGTGGCGCCCGAAATCGTCTGTGGCCACAATCACTATAACTTGAAAAATTCTGTCGACTGAAACGGCAATAAAGAGTGATGGGTCACTCAACACACTGACTCAAAATTGCCAAGGGCCTGCTATGCTTTCCACCGGGATTGTTCTCGAACTTCCATGGGACGTACTAGATGATAGCGTCAACACAGCTCTTGGCAGTGAGAGGATATCACAGCCGATCACACCCATGTCATCCTTCAGGTCGATGTGTTGATGTGTTGACATTCGGCGATGAGACTCTGCAAGGTCACGACACAATCCAGTTCAATTCTTCGGAGAAGTCCGGTCTTGATGTCTGTCCCCTATGCACAAAATGAGACACATGAACTGGTTCTGCTTCATTGGGCTGAACCTGAAACGCTCACATCCCCGACCGATAACACCGGTAAGCATGTTGAAATCGACATTATCCTTCTTCAGCAGGTTGAGGTATTGGTAACGTATATCGCACACCGATGTTTGTTCACCGAACGTCTGTGATGGTGTTCTGTCATATACTTCAAAGCCGAGCTCACGAGGCAGCTGGCGGAGACCGAAATATGCATACAGTTCACGCTCCGGTGTACTGAGTTTTCGCAGCATTAATCTGGCTTTCGAACAGTCAGTGGAAAATCAGTTCTAAACAAGCCTTTATAAAGCTCGAACCAGGAGTCAAAACGGTAACCAGATAGGGGTTGAATTTGAACTCCACGCTTGGGACCACGCCTGCACAAACAGAAGAAACGGAAAACCCACTCATCCTGACTGCTGGTGTCTGGACATCAAGTCTCTTTTGCATCACTCCAAATCTGCAAAACAGTACTGTTCTTGGCGGGCGACAACTCACTGTGTGCCACATGACCAAGACAGCGCAAATTAGTTAAATACAAGATTGGGCAGCTGAAGAAGTCCCCAAGAGCAGTGATTGAAAAAAAACTTTTCAGAGGATTGTGGTCCAATAAGCGAACGCTTTTTTGAAGAAAAGAATTAGAAAGAGTTTCACTGTGTACCTTTATCGTGAGATTATATGCTCCATCAAAAATTGAAGATCATGTAAGGTGACCTCGTTATACTACGCAATAGAGAAGCACGTATCTTCATTTCTACCAACGAAGATAAAATCACGCCTGATTCGTGACCAAGTAATTAGCGGTTACTGAACCAAAGGTCATTTCCATTGTGATGACCTCTTTGCAGTATTTTCAACAAGTTACACGTGTTTTCACAAGCATCCCGCCGAAGTCAACCGTCCACATACATGTTACTTGTTAAAAATACTGCAAAGAGGTCATCACAATGGAAATGACCTTTGGTTCAGTAACCGCTAATTACTTGGTCACGAATCAGGCGTGATTTTATCTTCGTTGGTAGAAATGAAGATACGTGCTTCTCTATTGCGTAGTATAACGAGGTCACCTTACATGATCTTCAATTTTTGATGGAGCATATAATCTCACGATAAAGGTACACAGTGAAACTCTTTCTAATTCTTTTCTTCAATCCTCTGAAAAGTTTTTTTTTCAATCACTGCTCTTGGGGACTTCTTCAGCTGCCCAATCTTGTATTTAACCAATTTGCGCTGTCTTGGTCATGTGGCACACAGTGAGTTGTCGCCCGCCAAGAACAGTACTGTTTTGCGGATTTGGAGTGATGCAAAATAAGAGGTAGATAGAGTATGACGTGGTAGAAGAGATTGGAGAGGCTCATGAAAAATCTGGGTTCTGTTATGCCTCCTCTGCTCTATGGTAAGGTCTACGCGATGGTGATAGTATTTATCCATTCAACCCATCTAATCCAGTCCATATTAGAATAATATTTCAGACCTTTCATTGGGTTTATGGGTGAAACACTATCATTTTTGTCACAGGCTTTGTAAGGCCTCTCGCTTAAAAAGGCTAGAGATAATCCCGACTGTCAGTGTACGATTAACAGGAGTTCACTAATACAGGGCTCTTTTATCCAGCCCAATTGTAGGTATGGGTGTGATTCGAACAACTGAGGCAAAGAGTCGTAAAAACTGGGAATCGCAATGTATCTAAAAATTGGTAGTTCAGGTGGATTAAATGGCTATTGATGAGGTGACACTTTATCTCTTCGCCAAGCTTGGCAACTGGCTTGCAAAGTTTCATCACCATGTTAGGAGACACTTTCGATGAGCGGTTGGGTGGGTGCGGCCAACGAACTGGATACCCACTTCGTTTGTCTACCTTCGCGTAGTACAAAAGTGATAAGCTCTCATTAGTAGTTAATCTAGAAGCACTAAGGCGTGTAGGCCTAACGCTCTGATTGTGCAAATTCGATGGCGTCGGGATCAGTGACCAAACATTGCTGATTCCGTTGGCGTATTCTTTTCTTTGTGCTTTTGGACTTCTTTCTGGAATCATCCCTCAAACGCAGCAGTTTTTTCGGCAGAACGATATTTTACGCACTCTATTGATTGCATTTGATTGCATCAGAGTGCCGGCCACTGTACCCGTTGTTTAAACCCCAACGAAAATTCAGTTTCGGTTCTCTTGAGGACCTGTTATTAATTCTAGATATGTTCACATGTTCCACCTTCATAATTTTGGCACCCCTACAAAAGTAAACTTTTCCAGTGAATTTCCAAGACTGTGTGTCTGACGTTCGAACGACTTTGTGTGGTTGCTCTGTAAGACGCAACTACGGAATCAAGCTTGTTCGCTTCTTGGTATCAAGAGATTTCTGAACAAAATTCAGTGTGCTTAATAGTACATACTCAGTATGATTCAATGTTAAATTCACTGGAATAGTTGCCGGATAAAAAGCACCATACCTATAAAATCTTCCTGAAGACGGTATTCGAGCCACCTTACTGTAGATGTAACCCCTGAAAAACGGACGTTTGATGGTTTCTCACCGAGTCAGATTTTGATGTGTCCTTCCATATGTAGATGAAGAATCACAGGTTTCCGTGTTTGGTACTGTTAAAAATTTTCCCTATATCATCGACTAGTTCGATGGAATCCCAGAGAAATAGCTTACTCATTCGTTGCTAAAGCTAGGTTTCCACTGTGTAATCCAGAGTGATTTGTAGTCTATTCCTACCCTACCGGTGGATATCCCAGCGGGAAAAAGCCACGAAATCCCACTTACCAGTAGACAACCACAGTTCAGAAAGCATCAAAAACCTAGTCACGTGACCACCAAAATACTTGCACTTTTAGTTCCGCCACAATACACAGAACCAATGAACGACGTGTACAAGTTGGTGTTCACTTGAAATCCGAGCTAGTCATGCTGCCGATGATGATGATGATGATGATGACGAGCCAGTTACCTAGGATAACCACGAAGCTTTCAAATTCCATGATCAGGAAGTTAATTTTTCGGGCTGTAATCGCATGTTCACCGTCTATTCACTGTCCAGCGGATTTCAGTGTGGTTTTCTACAACAGTCGATGCAGGCTTCTGTCTGTCTGGTGTACAACATTCGTTGTGGACAGTAGTATGAATGTCGTAAATCGAGAGGTTATACACAATCTTCTCCATCCTGATGTCGTCACCGTTAATGTTGACCAGTGATGCTTCAGAGTGGTTTGGCTTCTGTTTGGAACAAAACCTTGTGTCGGACGTACGCTCTAATAATGCAGTAAAATGATAGGGGTTGCAAGCAGCTCAGTGGAACTGGAAGCTATGCTACGAAGTTTCGGGTGTCATGGGCGATCGTTTTGTAGGATTTTCACAGTCGATTTAAATGGGGGCCGAGTACAACTTCATTCGGGTCCACTATTATGTCTTCAGTTTAGTGTGTTTCCGAGACGGGTTGGTACCTGAGTTGTCGCCCGCCAAGAACAGTACTGTTTTGCAGATTTGGAGTGATGCAAAAGAGGACTTGATGTCAGACACCAGCAGTCAGGATGAGTGGGTTTTGTGTGCTTGTGAAGGACTATCGCCCCGGGCACCGAAGATGGACTGTTGGAGTCGTCCTCAAAAGTATTGGTCAGGTGATTTAAAGCATCCAAGTGGGATCTTTGATATGGAAACGACATGTCAATCAATTTCGGCCGACTCAGTGCCAGATCCCAAATGCGGAAGAACAGTTACGAGACCTCAACCTACTGCTTGAAACTTCTGATCTCCCAGGACCAGCACCTACAGCCACTGCTACGCATGTACCGCTCAAGACAGACCCATTGCTGCAACCAAGACGGCGTACCGGTCGTACCAGAAAAAGGGTGTAACCTTTACAACTTGATCCGCGTCGAAAATCTTATGTTGAACGTTCAGAACGGGGAGGTATCAGGAAGGTCAGCGTCCTGAAAGCAACCACTGAATGCCCGAAATCTACCGAGACTCTCAGCTCCGCTAGATGTTGACCAGACAGACAACGCCCCCTCAATAGGCAGCACGTCGCTGCCTCGTACTAAAGCCAGACCGCGTGCCAGACCCGCTCGCATTGGACCAAGTTCAGACAGTGTCCTTCCAATAAAAAGCTTGAGGCCGTTGTACTTTTCGCACTCCCGCACGCACTCGCGCTCTCGCAGTCACTTTTTTGGACTATAGCTATTGTGTTCCCTTCCGTGAGTATTTTCCTCTCCGACACTAGACACTGGAGCGGGTCAGCAGCAGATACCACAGGCCGGCGAATCAGCAGATATAACAATACCGAACCTCACACAAGTTTATCTCTTTGCGGTGAGTGGCCCATCACTCGTTATTGTCTTTTCGGGCGTCATAAATGTTCCAGGTATAGTGGTCTTGGCCACAGACGATCTCAGGCTCCACAGCCTCCAGCACATCACCTTGCAGCCCATAAGCAGCTAGCTGTCTAGGTGACGTCAACCTTCCAGGTTAATTTCTATTTCCGACTGAAGTCTGTAACGTTTCGTATCAACAAGTTCCTCGTTCGTTTGCAGCTCGATACGGGCTCCGACATCACGCTGTTCAGTAGACGAACGTGGAAACGAATTGATCAGTGTCAGATGAAAGCGAGGGGACAATGATCCCGCAATATTTCTGGGCTTGTGTTGAAATTGTTTGGTGTTTGATTGCTCCATGACCTTTATTGGCTCGACTACCTTACCCACGTTCTACCAGAGGCCATGCTTCCCTTTTGATATGGCCAGACTACGGATGATTGGCTTTCAACAACCGTCCAACTACTCAGCGTTCCTCGCCTCGATCATTTGGATGAATAAGGCTAATAGGACCATCCGATGTTTTGCAGACTTTTTGGCAGGTTTAATTGTGGCACGGGACGCCCCTCAGTTTCCTCTCGCCCTTCATTTCAACTGTTTGCAAAAGTGATTGGATGCTTGCGTTCTGCGTAGACTGTTTGACCGGGGCTATCCTGTGAATTGAAGTCAAGGAGCAATCCCACTGTCTTTTTCCAGCAATACGCACCGCGCTGTCTTGGGCTATACTCGACTGCTGTTTGATGGCAGGACAGCGCCAGCCATATTTCAACAGATCTTGGATGCGATAATGAGGAATATCCCTGATGCTGTCGCCTATTTGGCCAATATCATCCTCTTGGTTTCCAACCAAGAGGAATCACAGATCCACCTTAATTACGTGTGCCATTTGCGCGGAGAAATGTGTACATTATATATGTAGTTGATTGAGTATCTTAGTTTCGTCAC